TGGGGGTGGTAGTGATAGAGATAGAGAGAAAGAGAGGGGACTGCAAGGAGGCGCTTGCAGCTTGTTTTCTAACGGCTCCCAGAAGAGAATTATATATATAGATTTTTCATCATCGGCTTGTGAGGACTGATACAGATTTACAATAGTAATACTTCGGTCTGCCACGTAGGCCTACTTTCAGTCATTGAAAATGGTTTACTTATAGCCGACATATTACAAACCGTCTAATATAATTTTTTTGAAACCTAAAATTTAAGTAGATTTAATCAAAGGGTGATACAAAGTTCTGCTTAGAGTTGGGGTGGTGGGTGGGTTGTTTTGGGGAATTAGGGACATGTATAATAGGATATCTCAAATTATTTTATCATTTGGTATTACCTTTGCAGTCCTCCTATTACTTAGATTTAAAAAAAATACTTTTATTTTCCATAATACAAAGTACAACATATTTACAGTTACAAAATTTACATTATTACTTAGTTTAAATTTTTTTTTTTTTTTAAAATACTTTTATTTGCAATTAAAACAAGTACATCAACATCCAATTTTTTAACATACTTTTGAACACCAACTGAAAACGAAAGGTTTTGCAAATGTATATAATGAATATTTACATGATGTCATGTATTTGATTATAAAAAAATATTGCAAGGGATGACAGTAAAAGGGGTGAAGGTCAAATGAAAGTGTCAGAAGTCTGGGTGGGGAGAGGAAAGGAAACTTTTCAGAGAGGGTCAATGGGACTAAAACAACAATACAGTTTTGGATGAACCGTAATTTAATTAAATCCTTGTTTAAAAAAATTGCAATTGTTCAGAATTGGCATAACTAAAACAAATGGTTTAGCTAAAATACGTACATGATCTTACGAAATAAGTTACGACAAATTGTGGCCTGCGTAAAATATTGGAAGAAACGGCAAATATTTTTAAATACAAAAAAAACCTTACAACCGAGAAAACTGATGACTCGTCCGCCCACCCCTTATTCCTAGCTGTTTGTCAAAACATTGAGATCCCAAGGGCAGACAATCAACCGACTGTCCTACTATTTTGTGATACATCCATAATAGGGGAGGTAACAAAGTACGAATAGTGTAGAATAGAAAAAGTGCAATGATAAAATTAATTAAAATCCTTGCTTAAACCTGAAAGAACATAACAGCTCGAATTTCTAAAAAAAATTGTTACAAGCTTATTTTTAAATTATGTAATAAACCAAATCTAAAAAATGAAGGGTTTTACAAAAACAAAAGTGGGTAACTCAGTAGTCTTGTCCATTTTCTGAAGCTAGAAAGATATTATGTGGTTATGTTTTAAAACAGACATATTTATTTTCCCACTATGGTCTCTAGGGAAATATCCGAGACGGGTCTAGACGGTGTAAAATATTGCCAGCTATTTTTTAAATACACGTCTTTTTATATGGGTACTAGAACCAATTTATATGGAGATAATATACTCAATTTGTATGTAGATAGAAGGTCCAATCTATATGTGGATATCAGATCCAATCTATATGTGGATGGCAGGTCCAATCTATATGTGGATGGCAGGTCCAATCTATATTGTGGATAGCAGGTCCAATCTATATGTGGATGGCAGGTCCAATCTATATGTGGATGGCAGGTCCAATCTATATGTGGATGGCAGGTCCGATCTATATGTGGATGGCAGGTCCAATCTATATGTGGATGGCAGGTCCAATATATATGTGGATGGCAGGTCCAATATATATGTGGATATCAGGTCCAATCTATATGTGGATGGCAGGTCCAATCTATATGTGGATAGCAGGTCCAATCTATATGTGGATATTAGGTCCAATCTATATGTGGATAGCAGGTCCAATCTATATGTCTATAGCAGGTCCAATCTATATGTGGATAGCAGGTCCAATCTATATGTGGATATTAGGTCCAATCTATATGTGGATGGCAGGTCCAATCTATATGTGGATAGCAGGTCCAATCTATATGTGGATGGCAGGTCCAATCTATATGTGGATGGCAGGTCCAATCTATATGTGGATGGCAGGTCCGATCTATATGTGGATGGCAGGTCCAATCTATATGTGGATGGCAGGTCCAATATATATGTGGATGGCAGGTCCAATCTATATGTGGATATCAGGTCCAATCTATATGTGGATGGCAGGTCCGATCTATATGTGGATGGCAGGTCCAATCTATATGTGGATGGCAGGTCCAATCTATATGTGGATGGCAGGTCCGATCTATATGTGGATGGCAGGTCCAATCTATATGTGGATGGCAGGTCCAATATATATGTGGATGGCAGGTCCAATCTATATGTGGTAGGCAGGTCCAATCTATGTGGATGACAGATCCAATCTATATGTGGATGGAGGTCCAATCTATGTGTGGATGGAGGTCCAATCTATATGTGGATGGCAGGTCCAATCTATATGTGGATAGCAGGTCCAATCCATATGTGGATATCAGGTCCAATCTTTGTGGATGACAGATCCAAAGCATAGGTGGATAACAGTCCCAATCCATATGTAGAATACAGACCAAATCTGGACTTGAGTATTTTATCTCATATTTTTGTGGATACTGGATCTCATACTTATGTGGATACTGGATTTCACATTTATGAGGATATTAAGACCGGTCCACAAGTATATAACGTGCATATTAATGAGTAACAGGGAAAGGGAAGATGTAGGGGGTTATATTTGGCGAAGAGATGGCCATATAGATAACGTGGCACTTATCCCAAAATGTGTAAAACCGCATCAATGGTTTCATATACATGTACCATGTACCATGTACCATGAATTCTTGCTTTTGGATTTGTTGCTAAAAGTTTGGGATCAGTATCAAACTGACATGAACCGGGTCAAGATGAACAAGTGAGTTATGGATTTGTTGTTACATGTTTAGGATAAGTACTGGGTACTTTTGAACCGGGTCAAGATGAACAAGTGCGTTATGGATTTGTTGCTACATGTTTAGGATAAGTATCGGGTGCTTTTGAACTGGGTTAAGATGAACAAGTGCCTTATGGATTTGTTTGCTACATGTTTAGGATAAGTATCGGGTCTTTTTGGGTCAAGATGAACAAGTGCCTTATGGATTTGTTGCTACATGTTTAGGATAAGTATTGGGTACTTTTAAACCGGGTCAAGATGAACAAGTGCGTTATGGATTTGTTGCTACATGTTTAGGATAAGTATCGGGTACTTTTGAACTGGGTTAAGATGAACAAGTGCCTTATGGATTTGTTTGCTACATGTTTAGGATAAGTATCGGGTCTTTTTGGGTCAAGATGAACAAGTGCTTTATGGATTTGTTGCTTCATGTTTAGGATAAGTATCTGGTCGTCTTGACCTGGGTCACGTTGATACCACACCTAACCAGGCTGACGTTGAAATCTTCTCACCCGGACGCGTGGACAAAAGGAGGGGGAGGGGTGGGGGGGGGGGGGTAGAACCAACTTCCGGTTTTAATTGGCCAGATTTCACAAGTGTCAGATTTGATTGCGCCCGAAGGCCAAGCTTACACACAGGTAAAGTAGTGTGATACAGGTTTAGTGTATGAGGCTAGATCTCAGACAAAAAAAAATGTAAACAGTTGTGTCGTAAAACATCTGCACGTGAAAATGCTTCAACTCAGTAGCCAACAGGCTAGTTTACAGACCTATGTGTAGTTTTATATACGTTACTTATGCCGCTGATTGTAATCCCCCCCCCCCCCCCCATTTTTCGCTTTGTAGAACAACGCTTTTGAAATGTCGTATAGTAGTGTACTGTAGCTAAGGGTGATTCGAGATACGAATTCAATAAAATATCAAAACAAAGATTCGAGTTACGTGTTTCGAGTTACAAAAACAAAGATTCGAATTACGAATTGTTATTCGAGTTTCGATTATTCCTCCATAGACTTGTAGCCAAATTTTAACACATTTTATTTTAACAAGGCACCATAAAGTGATGATGTACACTACGCGTTTGCAGTTTGGGAAAAACCCGTAGTTTATTAATAGAGGAGCGATTAACATAGAAAACGGCGATCGGCCAAAATATTATTTCATGCATCCTAGTTTAACTTTTTAAAAATTATATGATGTCTGTAATGGTGCAGGATATAGAAAGAGATTACATATTATTTTTTTTTTGCTACGTGTTCACTCAACTTCGTATGTTGGGTATTTCACGCCTTATGTGAAAAAGGAAAACACATTTTTTTTTAAACGAGGTAAGGTAAAACACATGTAGGAAATTAAAAAAAAAAAGTTGTATGTAACACCCTCTGAACATAACCATCAACATCTTCAGAAGTGAAGTCTTGTTGTATACACAAGCGTCGTTCAATTTGAGGTGGGAGGTCATGATTTAGAGTTTTTTTTTTTTTTTATCGTTACTTAAGTTAAGATTAAGGGCGTTTTGGGATTTCAGCCTTTCAGGTAAGAACGTTCCGAGTTACGAACTTGCCGGATTACGAAAGTTTCGTGTTACGAACTTTACATATTACGAACGTTTCGTGTTAGAAACTTTACCTATTACGAACGTTTCGTGTTACGAACTTTACATATTACAAACGTTTCGTGTTACGAACTTTACATACTACAAACGTTTCGTGTTACGAACTTTCCAAATTACGAACGTTTCGTGTTACGAACTTTACATATTACGAACGTTTCGTGTTACGAACTTTACATATTACGAACGTTCAGTGTTACGAACTTTCCAGATTATGAATACCCTTATTACGAACTGAACTTAATACGATCTGTCCGTGAATTTTTTTTTTCTACATTACGAACGTTCAGTGTTATAAATATTCCAATTTACGAACGTTCCGTGTTAGATTCTATCTAGGTTATGAATGCTCCAGATATCGAACAATTTGACATACATTCATAACTCTTGCCCCCTCCTGCACTTAATTAGCCCATGTAAGAGGTTTTACATAGGTGAGGTGAACGAAGGGTGTGCAGCTTGCATTTGTCTGATCGTTTTTGTGCTTCTGACAGTGTGACGTAAGGATCGGACAGCGTGACGTCATGGCCGCCCCGAGCGTGCAAGTGTTAAGCCTAGCGTTTGTGTGTCACGTGGTACTAACACAAGGTGAGTACGCCATGGGCTGATAACTCGCTGTTTGTTGTTGTTGTGACGTCATTGTACCTAGAGAGTTATCCCTTAACTTCCTGTTTGTTTATCTCGGTGAGTACCCCCTGTCAATTACCCCACGCCCAGTTATGGTTAGTGTTAGGTTAGGGTTAGATGTAGGCTTAGAGTAGGGGTTAGGATTGATGTTGAGTTAGGGTTACCTAGATTGGGGTTAGGGTTCTTAATAATTGGGGGGGGGGGGGGTAATTGATAAGGGGTTAATGTTTCCGGGGAGGGACAATGTCAGGGGGTAGGTGGGGGTGGGGAATTTGACGAAGGGAGAGGAGTAAAGTCCTATGCCTATGAACTTAACTATACTATCTTCAGTGAAGAGGGCGGCGCCTGATATATTTCCGTGCAAAAGAAACAAAACGACACATTTAAGATGAATATTCCCCCACTATTATACATATATAACTTGACTCAACTATTAAAACAAAGTTCCTTCCGCCCACTATTCAATTCACTGTCTCTCCAGTCATGTCTCCTACATTGTTCTGTACTAGCCACCTTGTACTCATACATACATACGTTCTGTCAAACAAGTAAAACAACAGCTAGTACTCTCAAACCGTCAATACGAACTCTAAAACGTCCTTATTGATTACTATGCCTTACTCTACTGTTAGTCTAGTCATATTTAAATCTACTCTATGACAATGTCCTTGTTCGAAAAATATTTACCGTTTACTTCATGTTTGTCCAAGTTACGTTTTTAGAGTCCCCCACCCTCCTTTAAAGATAAATATATGTTGTTGTCCATATTCCAAGAGTTACCCTTTTTACATTAAGTATTTGTATATTCCCAGATAATTCCCCCTTAATAACCGTGTTGGAAAAGAGTCCCCCCCCCTCAAAGATAACTCCGTATCGGTTATTGTCCAAATGCCCAGATAGTTCCCCCTTATAGATAACTCCACGTATCTTTGTCTCAGAGAGGTACCACTTGTATCGTGTACTCGACATAACTCACTACCACATCAACTATATTTAACTGTTTATTTTCCTTTCTACCTGTCTGCTATTTTTAGCATGAATTCTGACGTTGTCATTAAATGTACTCATCTCTGACTCGACTGTAATCACTTGGTCAAATGGTTAAATGATGTGGTCACGTGGTCAATGGTTAAATGTCGTGGTCACGTGGTCCAATGGTTAAATGTTGATGTCCCGTGGTCACATGGTTAAATGTTGATGTCATGTGGTCAAATGGTTAAATGTTGTGGTCACGTGGTCAAATGGTTAAATGCTGTGGTCACGTTGTCAAATGGTTAAATGTTGTGGTCACGTGGTCAAATGGTTAAATGCTGTGGTCACGTGGTCAAGTGGCTAAAGGCTGTGGTCAAATGGTTAAATGCTGTGGTCACGTGGTCAAGTGGCTAAAGGCTGTGGTCAAATGGTTAAATGCTGTGGTCACGTGGTCAAGTGGCTAAAGGCTGTGGTCAAATGGTTAAATGCTGTGGTCACGTGGTCAAATGGCTAAAGGCTGTGGTCAAATGGTTAAATGATGGTCACGTGATCAAATGGTTAAATGTCGTGGTCACGTTGTCAAATGGTTAAATGGTTGAATGTTGTGGTGACGTTGTCAAATGGTTAAATGGTTGAATGTTGTGGTGACGTTGTCAAATGGTTAAATGTTGTGATCACGTGGTCAAATGGTTAAATGTTGTGGTCACGTGATCAAATGGTTAAATGCCAATTCGTTAATCCAGATTTCTAGAGTTCAGTTTCTAGGCTCTAGTCCGCTGGATGTACCTGAGCTCACTCAGCCCTAAACTGTACCCGACATGAATCAATGACATTTGGTTAAGTGAGTGGTATTGAACTACTATTCATATGCCGAAGTAGAAAAATAAAAATAAGGCTTACATTCAGTTCTATCTATAACCGCGCCTCGATTTTAACGTAAAAAAAATAACTGTAGATTTAACCCTGGCGACCTAAACAATAAAAACTAATCGAAGTTAAATATAAGAAAATTTTAGAAAAGTTATAGGCCAAATACTTACGGTGACTAGATAGTGACATTTGAATGAGATTCATAAAATTGTGTTTACTTCGCTCAAACAAAGAGGGACAACAAATACGGCAACTTTTCTGCTTGAAAAAAAACAACATTTGTCGTCTCTAGCTCCCGCTGTGCGATTTATATCAATAAAATGTCGTGTCGCGTTTCCGTCGTGTCGTGTTTTTTCTGTCTGCTAGAGTTATCCCATCTATGTATCGTCGCCTCCAGATGGCGCCACAGCGGACTGTCGCCATGTTTTTTCCGGGATTGTTGTTTTTATGAAACCGTGTGATAAACAAACACCATGTCCCTTGTTTTATTAGCCTTGCGTCAGCTTTTCTATTATCGTGGTTACATATTTCGGAAGAATGAGGCATGGAAAGGGCTTTAAACATAAAAACAAACAAACCCATGCAAATTCGATACAATATTTTTTTTCTGATAGCTGTATCCCGTTGTACAGGGATTATGATAATTTTTTTTTGTTATTGAGGAAGAAGGCTTTCTAAAAATACCATCTGATAAAAATTAAATGGTTGTGCTTATTTCGGCCAACGGTAGAGGAAATACGCAAGGGGCTTATATCCTCTCACATCCTGTTGAGGATGGGTATATCCTCTCACAGTTGAGAGGGAATAAGCACAGTGTTTATTTCCTAGACAGGATGTGAAATGATATATGCGCCTTTCGCATTTCCTCTAAATTAAGACAAAATTTTCTGAAAGGAAAAAAAAAGCCTCCTCATATAGATCCATACGTTAAAAGATTAAAAGATAGTTATTTCATTAATTCAGTTACAATTCTTAATTTTTGCTCTGATACAAAGCTTTTTTAAAAATTTTCTTAGCCTATCCCTATCCCTAACCCAATCCTAACTCTAAACCAAACCATAATCCTTAACACTTAACCTCAATCCCAACCACTTCCACTAAACCCAACCCACAACCCTAACCCTAACCAAGTAAGATATAATGCGTTAAACCTTATCTTATTAATGCCATTTGTAGCAATGACAAAACAAAAAACCCACCATAATTCTAACAAGTTCCGAACCCGAATCTTTCTTGATGGCCGTCATACTATCGCAGCGCTTGAAACAGTTTGTAAAAAAAAATAACCTGAAATTAAACAAAATTCCGTCCAAAAATTCTAAAAATAACTATTAAATAAAGTAACTCGACAGGATGTGAGAGGATATCAGCACCTTGCGTATTCCCTCTATCGTTGGCGGAAATAAGCATTACCAAATTAAATATATGGCCATATTCTTCTTAATATTTTAGGTCCGATAACTCAAAAAAAAAAAAAAAAAAAAAACAAAAAAAAAAAAACAAAACCTGAATGACAACAGGTAATTAAACTTTCCTCATCCCCCCTCCCTCCCCCCGATAGTTCTTTTATTTTAAAGTCGCGGTTATTCATTTCAATTGGAACGTCGTAATACTAGAGTATTTTACATGATTGTAAGGTTAGGATTCAATGTAAACTTAGGACTAGGGCAGGGGTCGGCAACCTTTTGAGATGGAAGAGCCAAAAGCTACAATTTACAAATTTTTTCACTATTTAATGAGCCACCAACAATTTTATATCAATATTATGATCTTTAGTTAGGATTTGGTATATATATATATATATATATATATATATATATATATATATATATATATATATATATATATGTATATATATATATATGTGTGTGTATATATATATATATATATATATATATATATATATATATATATATATATATATATATATATATATATATATATATATATATATATATATATATATATATATATATATATATATATATATATCAATGTATGTCTGATTGTGTTTGTGCCGTTTTCCTTTTTTTTCAAATTCGCGTTGATCGCGTCCCGGCAGGCCGACGATTTGTTTTTTCTCTATATACGGTATATACAAATAAAAGTCGATTGCGAATTGACACCGTTCAACCGATCGTCAAGAAACTTTACCGAGTTGATTAAAACACTCCAAGGAAAGGGTGCTTGTACCAAAAATTTTTTTTTAAAAATTTCGCGGCGCCCCAGAAGGGTGAGATTTTTCTCTATATACGGTAAAATAAAAATAAAAGTAGGATGCGGTTCGACACCGAGTGCCATGAAACTTTAGAGAGAATACTCCCGAGAAGATTTCTGCGAAAATAAAATTAATATATCTTATGGGCGGCGCCCGGGTGGTTCATTTTTAGTCAATACACGTTTTGGGCTTTCTGCGTAGTGGGTATGGGTACTACTTTATTCAGCGGCTATAAGCGACAGGCGCAACCGCCGACGCCTCGTCCATTGCGCGACCCGAAGCGCCCCGTGCTTACCTGCGAACATTATGGCGCCTGCCCTTTTTAATAAAATGCTGTACACTATAGACACGATGGGCAACAATACGTTTAGTTCAAACAGCGCGATAGGCCAGGGGTCGGCAACCTTTTGAGACAGAAGAGCCAAAAGTTACAATTTACAAAATTTCCAAGTTTTTAAAGAGCCGCCAACATTTTTATACTATTGTTAATATTATGATCTTTTATTAGGATTTGGTATATATATATATATATATATATATATATATATATATATATATATATATATATATATATATATATATATATATATATATATATATATATATATATATATATATATAACAATGTATGTGTGTTTGTGTGTGTGTCTGTTTTTCTTTTATGCATTACTACACCTTACATCCGATCGCCATGAAACTTGCAAAAATTGTTGAGAATACTCCTAGGGAGGTTTGTGCACATTTTTTTTAATTTCGCAAGGGCGGCGCCCCAGGGGGGTAGAGGTGTGATTTTTCTCTATATACTGTAAAGAAAGTTGTATGCGGTTCGACACAGTTTATCCGAGTGCCATGAAACTTTGGAGAGTAGATGAAAATACTCCCGAGAAGATTGCTGCGAAAA